AATGTGGACAACTGTGGACACACATTCGACTGGAAAATTGATGAGATCTTGAATACAGGCAATTCCGAAAACACCGAAGAGTTTTTAGAAGCTTGGAACTCATGTCAATCAGCAATCTACAAACACATTGAGATCGATCCAATTTATCGACCAATCAGAAAAATTATAGACAAATATAGGACCAAGAATCAAACCAAAATAAATAAATAAACAATGACACGTTAATGGTCAACAAGAACCAATCAACATTGAGGTCTACAGGACAAGCTATGAGCCATATGTGATGAAATTAGAACATTCCACTTCTACTTGAAGTTTATGCTGATGATATTATTCAGAATGACGATGAAAGCTATACGAGCAAAGCATCCAGCTCACAGAAAAAAATGCCATTAAAAACTAAGAATTCCAGTAAGTGAACGGTCGATCTGATTTCTTATATACTTGCTAATAATCTCAGGTTAAATCTGCTTGGAAACTTGAAAACAAGAGACAAGATGCAAAGTGCGAAAAGAACTCTTTACTGAGAGATCAGTTGATGTGCAGAGAAATGAGGGTACTTATATGGGTACACACAACTTTGGTCTTGAGAAGTTGGAGAAAATTTGTAGCTCAGGTGGATGGTTGCGATGGAGTTTTGTTCTCTGAGCTGAATGGTTTGGTCGTGGAGCTTTCATCGTTCTTGTGAACGACATCAACAAAGAAGTAAACAATGACAGGTTTACGGTCGACAATTACCAATCAACATCGAGGTCTACAGAACAAGCTGTGAGCTATATGTGATGAAATTAGAACATTCCACTTCTACTTGAAGTTTATGCTAATGATATTTTCAGAATGACGATGAAAGCTATACGAGCAAAGCGTCCAACTCAGAGAATAAAACCCCCATCTCAAAAGATCACAAAACATTAAAATTAGTTTTTCAATAATTAAGGACATAGACACTAACATTCTAACTGTAAAAAAATAAAAAGAGTTAAGTCATTTACAATATTGTAATTCAAGTTATTGAAAAAGTTTAGGTTGACAAAACAGAAATGATTATGCTATGGCTAAAGGTATGACAGATTTATTATTATTATTATTATCATTATTAATAGTCATTAGAAATGGATAATTAGTTTTCCAATAAATAATGAAGTTATTTGAATGGTTGAGAACATCAGTCAATTGAAACTAGACAAACATAGAAAATCTGGAAGCACTGAATGTGGACGCGTACTACTGAGGAGTCCCACAAAATAGAACGAAATGGCTATCTAGTGTTTCCATGTTTTTCATGGTGGTCTAGGTTCAATTGACCCATAATCTCAGCCATTGACATAATAAAGTGACCAGTAAGTTTCATGTAATTGTAAAATAAAATATTTGAATTAAAATAAATAAGAGTTTTCTCAGTTTACTACTTTAATATTAGACTGTATTTATCTTTCTCAGCATTTATTATTGATCATGTAGTAAGATATGTATAAGTAGTATGTATCATCAATAAATAGTGAAATACCTGACGGCAGAAATTTAAGAAGATCGAAGATAAGAGAACAAGAACAAAGAATGTTCGGTATGAGAATGAAGGAGTAATGAAGTCTAAGACGATTGATTGACATTTTGTAAATGTGGTATTTACTGTATGATTCTCAGGTTTTACTAAGATACTTTGTAATTATGTATTTGATTACATTCAACTGTCCTCACTTGTGTTAGTTATTCATTCTTTGAAGAAGTGACATACATTTAGTGACGAAAGTTTAGAAAACTTAAAAAATCGATTTTTCTACTTATTGACAAATATAGGACCAAGAATCAAATCTATAACTCATGATCTCAACTATTGAAATTACTAAAGTCTCCACAAAACCATTTCTGATATTAATCAACTTTTTCTCACTAGTGACTGGCTTCAAGAGGTATTTAATGGAGTTGTAGTGAGAATCAGTGACGAGTGGAGTTCAACCGGGTCTGTTGTGAGTCAGTAACTCAATGAAGACATTAGTGGATGTGTCACTCAATTTTGTTGATTAGTTGAATTTAGACATTACCAGTGTTGGATGCCAGCCGGTTTAGTGATGTAGAGGTTAAGCGTTCACGAACGAGACCGATGTATCCTGTGTTCGAATCTGGCGATGCGGGCTCAAAGATGTGCACTGTTGAGTAGTCCCCCAATAGGGCTATCTGGCCATCCAGTGCTCCGAGGTTTTCCATGTTGTTTTAGCTTTAAATGACTCACAATCTGAACTATTAAAATTATTATCCACAAATTTCCTTCTGATATTATTGAAATATTACAAATATATTATGTTTATTTATCACAATCGAATTGTTTCTGTATTAATTATTATTCATTATCATTCCCATTCAAATATTAAGAAATATCTAGTTCAGTGAAGGGATCTCTATTCAAGGAATTCATTATCAAACTATACAACCGTATATATCATATCAACTTTTGATGGGATTATATTTAAACGAGTAGAGAGTGGGTGTACAACTCTGGCTTTTTATGCTTATTGGAATATATTAGAGTTCTAGAACTTTTCTACCAGTAGTTAACTGATTTTGTACCTGTTTGATGTTCATTTGTGATCCCGATCCAAAAATATGACTGATTAGGTTTATATGTTCCCAGATTAGTATCGACTTGTTATAATTTCTTAGTAAATGTTATGAATAATTCAATATGTGAATTCTGTTTCGATTAGGTGTTCGTTCCATAGTGAGAAGTTCTCATTTATGAGTAAGGTACTTGTCATCATCGAGGAAATCCTACAGCTGATAGCCCAAAGATATATATATATACTTCAGGCTACTATTCATGTGCTTGACTACTCACTGTTGACTGATAACTGTTCATTAAAATAAATCCACAAACAAACGTTAATATAGAGTACATTCTGTAATGAAATCATCAAAAACTAGGTGAAATAGCATATATTACCAACCCTGAGCACTGGAATAAATCGGGATTATTCAAGTCTTGCGGTAAACCCCCTTACATGAAACACATTTCCAACTTCAGACATCAGGCAATATTGGTATTGGCATTTCTCACTTATCCTACATAGTTAACCAATGGCCCTCAAGCCGTTTCACTTTAACATTGGGAATTCTTCTACAAATCACTTTCTAGCGTACAACTCTATATTTATTTGGATGAGCAGTTTGTCGAACTAATCCATTGTATGGTAATGCTTAACATCAAGAACTAACTTCATCTAGACGGTTATAGGGAATCAGAAAGAATTAAGAGAATATTTTGTGATCCAAGCATGGTACTTTATAGTATAGCTTAACCGCGACTCTAGACAACTATATGGTCAGTCATTAGATTAATCATTTGGATCTACAATTCATTTGCAATATATTGCCCAGTTCAACGTTGTGCAGATTATTTCGTGAAAATTTATTTAACATTGTATTCCCTTTTCAATATGGTTATGTAATTCTAGAAGGTTCCATATTAGGAAGAAACTGCTATCCAGTCCTTTTTGTTCCCAGTGGTAAACCAATGGATCTCCATTTGTCATCAATATCACACACAAATATTAAGCACGTTAAATATACTGTTTATAATTATTTAAGTTTGGCATATGAAATCACTCAATTCGTTGATTAGTGCTACTATCCTTTCACTTTGAGTTTCTCTATAGTAGTTTTGATTTGCTTAAGGGATTGAGTGGGTTTATTATCAAAAATGATCCTATTAAAATCGTTAGTTATGAATCCAGTGTAGCAGCAGCCTCAGCAGCAGTAGGTCTCAACATACACAAAGAAGAAAGTAAGATTCTTTTATACAACTCAGCATGCATCAATCGAAGATGCGAATCAGAGAAGCAAGAGCAGCATATTAACAAATAAAGAACACCTGGAACTCAAAACAACTGTCTGCAAGTCATCAGAATTTTCAATACAAATGTCAAAACAGTTCTACTGTATGGGGTGGATACTTGGAGAACTACGAAACCCATCATCCAGAAGATACTAGTGTTTATTAACAGGTGTATAAACAAAATACTTCAGATCCGTTGGCCAGATACTATCAGTAACAACCTATTGTGGGGGAGAACAAACCAGATTCCAATGGTGGAAGAAATGAAGAGGAAGTGCTGTAAGTATATGGGATACAAATTGAGGAAAGCACCCAACTGCATCACAAAGGAAGCACTCACTTGAAATCCTCAATGTCAAATAAGGAGAAGAGTAAGACTAACGAATAACACATTACTCCGAGAAATGGAGACAGACATGAGAAGAACTAACAAGAATTGGATAGAACTATAAAGGAAGGAGGAGGACAGAGTTTGTTGGAGAATGGTAGTTGGTGGCCTATGTTTCATTAGGGGTAACATGAGTAAGCAAGTTAAGAATCCAATGCAACAAATGACTAGTCGTATTATGTTTAAACAGTTACCATATTTTATTCCTGACATACAAATAAAAATCATGTACGAACATACTAAAACCAAATGAGAATAATAGAATTTTCAAGAACGTTCACAATGATGGAAATAGAAATAACGTAAATGAACGTATTTTTGAAGCTCGTTTGGTGTAAGCTACTTATATCTATATAAGTAGTTTATAACGATAGTCGGGAATAGAATTTATTTCAATAGATCGTGAACGCAAGAATGGGAACAGAAAGTAATTGGTATGAAAATGCAGGAACAATGAAATCCGAGACGATGAACTGATATTTGCAAAAGGAACAGTCAAATTTGAGACAATTGATTGATATTTTACAAATTAACTACCTTACTGTGTGGTTCTCAGATGTTCTGTAATTTCGTGGTCACAGACAGCTGATTCTTCAGCTATTCCATGAAACGACTAAAGTTTTAATGTAAACGAATTTCATTGTATGGAATTTACATGTTAAAGGAGTTCGTAACGGAAACTGTGTCTTTGTTTTATTACTATATGACAATGACTATCCCGATTTTAGTTAAAACTATGTGTTGATTGCATAATTTTTTTTAAAATATTTTTTTCATACCTAGTACTTACAGATTTATACTGTCGTATAGATTCAGATTGTTCTTATATTCATGGCAGTATATGTCATCCAGGAGTTGGTGCATGCGTTTGTCCTAGTGGTTATGAATTTGTATTTCAACATTTTTCCTGTTGTAAGTTTTAATTACGAATTTGATATAAAAAAGAATGTTTTTAACGAATTGATAACTTACTTATTTAAACTTATAAACATTGGTACAAGGAGGCACCAAATAGTTATGCGTCACATAAATCATTCGACTTGTCTGAGGGCTGAGATACTGCCCGAGTGCCCAAACCGAATCAGGTGGTTTTCTTAGGGGGTCACATCTGTAGCCTTTGACCTAAAGGTCTAATCCACAAGGCAGTGGAGCAACATCAAGAGATGCAGTTCCATGGTAGCCGATGACCAACGATTGGATCGTACGCCATTTGTCCCCTCAGGATCCTGGAGACCATGTACACCATTGGTTTTGAATCAGGGTTTTCCAACTCCCCTAGGTCGACCCTCCATATCCACCAACCCGGTGAAAGCGCCAGATATTCGCTTTTTGCCTCTCAATCTCGTAAACAACACCGAGAAGGCAGTGAGTAGGACTTTACTGGTAGTGGTTGTATGCACGGGGCCATGTGAAAGTATTTCGAGAGGGAGGGCTGACTTTCCTCACTCTCGGCCGTACCAGGGCATTTAGGGGTGAGCTAACCCAACTTTAATAGTAAATGATTGATATGTCGTTTTATTGGATTAGATCATTATCGAATTATTGATCTTTAATGTGATTAATGATGGATGAATAAACGTACATCAATAAAATTGTGTACAGTAATAATCTGAGCTAATTTCAATCTTATTCAGTAACGTCTGTTATTTATAACGATATTCATAATTATCCGGTCGAAAAAATGAAATGTTGTGTCTATTTGAGAACTTAGACAATCATATCATTATCAGCTTAGTAAGGTCTCAACTTCTAATTCCATAAGTTTTGCCGTTCTTTTGTGGAGTCAGATTTGGAGCTCTTTATATGTCTATGGCAGGTAAATAACGATAGAAAATCTATAATATAAATTCACTTGGTATTGTTTGTTTGAACCTTCCCATAGATGTTTAAGGACTATAATTGTTCAGTCTCTTATTGACATATATACATACTGTGTATAATGGCTCGATATAGCCATAATTCACGAGCATTATATGCAAAAATGGATACGTACTGTATGCATATATGAGACTGATGAATTGCAGCCCTAATACAGCAATGGTAGATTCAAGTAAACAATGCCAAATGAATTTAATCTTCACCCCATTGCACAAGCAAGTGGCTATGAGGACTCAGTAGCTAAGTGGATAACACGATGGCGTTTGAAGCGAATGGTACTGAGTTTGAGTCCCAGAGTAAACATCAATTCTGGATGTAGGTACATCCAACTGACGAGTCACCAATAGAATGAAACGCGCGTCCTGGATTCAAACTACAAAATTACTTTTTATTTATTGTGATTTCCTATTGCTTCGAAATGTATATGTTGATATAAACCAGGCATTGCTCTCTAGTTTTCCACTGGTTAATGAAATATTAGATTCTAAGGGTAACAACCATATGTTATAGACTGGTATTTAAGTGTTCAAACAGCGAGACGAACCAATCAGGTATAAGATAACAGGTTATGGATTTTGGCACGAAATTCATCCTTAGAGTTTTAGCGTGATAGCTTATGTCAGTTCGTGATGAAAACCCGGAATGTAATTCCTAACCTTAATCATAAACTGTAAATCATAATTCTAATTCCTCATACTGATTTATAACCCTCATTTGGTCTTGGTTATTAAGTGGACACTCTCAAGATCACTTAAGCGTCGCTCTAATATCATCCATAAATTATAGTCTCACCGTGCAACCCTGTTCCGATTATCATAGTAAATTAGTTTGGCCATATCGGAGGATGAATAATTCTTCCGGCACAAGCTTATTATAAGATATTCATCTATGTTACATTTTATTTTATCCGTAAAGTACTCACTTTTGTTTGAAAGGAACATTGAACTCATTTTCTCTATTCCAATGCTTGAGATCATGAGTTAGTTGAAGCTAGACCACCATGTAAAACCTGAAAGCACTGGAAGACCGTTCTATCTCATTATGATGGGACTCTTCAGTAGTGCACATCCCCGATCCCGCCTCGCTAGATTCGGACCCAGAACCTATCAGTTTCATGCGCAAGCCCTTAATCTGTTGACCACTGAGCCTACATCCAACAGTGTTAATGTCTAACTTCATTTTCTCTATTCATCTGATTTTATTCTGTACATTAGTTAGATAAACTGATTTACTTTTAACTCCTACAGTTCATCGATTCACATATAGTTCATCTCCTGTTCATATGCATGTTTGAAATATTCGTTACCGAGACACTTTAATATTTGACTTTTATTTACCACTGCTATTATTGATATAATTCTTTATCAATATGAAGCCAATTTAGAGGCCAAAGAACAGCTGAAAACCATAACATATAGAACAGCTTTTTATTGTGGGATAGAGCACAATCTTTTATATCTTTAGCTTCAATCAATTCATAATATTGAGCAACTATTTTTCATTACCATTCATGGGAAGATGAATGAACATTCTCTAAAATTAATTGAATTTAGACATGGTTTTAAATGGTTACCTAACTAAAGTGAATTTCTTATATAAATTATGTCATTCTAATTATCTTGTATGGATAATGTATTATTATTCATATTTCTCCAGTACCTCGTGTAAATGACAGTTCGAATCCGTTTTGCACAGCTTGTCAAAGAATTGATGGAGTATGTGTGTTAAATAATAGAAAAAATGGTTTATTATTGAATAATTATTACCAAGAGTAAGTCAATTTTAAATATTCACTTCAATATAATTAATATCAGAAAAGGTTTTAGTGGATATTATAGTAATTTAAATAGTTAAGATCATGAGTCAATTGAAGCTAAACCACCATAGAAAACATGGAAGTACTGGACGGTCGTTTCGTCCTACTGTAGGACTCCTCGGCAGTGCTCATCCACGACCCCACCTCGCGAGATTCGAAACCAGGACCTATCAGTCTCGCGCGCGAGCCTTTAACCATTAGTCCACTGAGCCGGCATCTCGCGTGGTGAGATCGTGGATGCACGCTGCTGAGGAGTAGGACGAAACAGCCTTCCAGTGCTTCCAGGTTTTCCATGGTGATCTAGCTTCAAATCACTCATGATCTCAACTATTACAATCAATATAATTAGTTTCAAAATAGTTATACATGCAGTTGAATAATACTAGTGAATTATAATCAAGTGTATACTATTTAATGAGGTTGATAAATATTTAGTGTAGTTATAATCATGTGAGGTAACCATTTCACTCAGGATAGATGCAAAATTATACAGCTAACTTAAAAGTTACCATTCCTAATCGTAATGGTTCAAAAATTATACAAGAAGCATCAAATGGTTTAAGAATAAAGACAACTCTTACAATTATGTGTCAACAATTCCATCATAACCCTAGGTTAATAAACATTCCCTATTAATCATCTTAAACAAAGTGCACGGCAACTAATACTTCCTGACTTACTTACGCCTGTTACTCCTCGTGGAGGAGCATAGACCACTTAATGTGTTTGACGTTCTTTTTAGCAAGATTTTTTTCTACGGGATGGGGTTGCCGACCCCATGGACCGGCAGTAACTCTAGAAGAGCTACAGGTAGAGTTATGGCAACTAATAGGCACACTGCAATTTGATGACTTTGATCAGTACTAAACATTACATGATATAAAGTGCATTCATTTTGGTTTTTCATTCGGTGCAGCTATTTCAGTGCTATTATATGCTCATTAACAGTTTAAATAGCTAAGTCATAATATTTCTGACACTTAAATTCGGTGATAATGATCAAATCCCATTGGAAAAAAAACATACCTTTTCCTCTGATGAATCTATATATGTATTTCTTGTGTGTGAAATTTAACATTGAACCGAGATCAAGTGGTTGATTACGGCATGAACCCATTATAAGCATTTAGAATGAATCCTTAGATACTGACATCATTCTAGTTACATTCTAATCTCCAGAGGCCTCAAACTACTGAATCCAAAATTGAAAACAATGAGCAGAAAATTTGAAAGAAGCATTATTTTACAGTTTGAGGATCGTAAAGCCCAAGAAGATATAACTTTCCTATACTTTCTAAAGATATAAATATATTTAATTATAGGAAGTATCTAACACCTGTAAATTCGAAACTCTTTGAAAACATATTACATAACACTTGGCGTTGTTTACTTGTATCTTCCCATTGTTATTTAGTATTGCAATTGATCAGTCTCTTATTGGCATATGTGCATCGTGTGCGGACTGCCTCGATATTGCCTTATTCCATAAGCATTTCAAACAAAGATGGATGGTGGCTAGTATTAGAATGCAGGATGCAAGTTTCTTCCTATTTAGGACTCGTCAGCTGGAAGTACCTGCATCTCACAGTTGATGATTACTCTAGGACTCGAACCCAGCTGAATCTAGCTGACAAGTCCCAAACAGGACGAAACGCGCGTCCTGGACTCCACTACTAGCCACTATTCATGTTATATAACCTTGTAAAAGTCTAAAATATTCCATCTAAACAAACTTTACTATAACTTCAATAGTAACTGTCAAAGATATTGATGCTTTATCAATAAGAAACTGTTCTGTTGCTACAATGAAGACCTAATCAATAAAGTCATTGTTCAAAAGACTCGGAACAATTACAGATTTAACTATTACTAAATCGACAAATCGTCTCAACTTTCCAGGTTAGTATTAAGATTGTTAAGTAAGATAATTAGACTTACGATTCCTTGATAAACTTTTCTAGATCTTTTAGTGATATTGAATGTTATAATTCCTTGTTGTTGATAATCAGGATTAAGCTTATTGTATTTTAATTGAATATCATTTCTTTACTTATTTTATTCGTAAATGGTTAGTAGTAAGTTTACAAGAAGAAATAAACTTCTAATACTTATATAAGTCTGATACTAACAAGGATCCTTGTTTACTGATTGATTTACATCAACATTACCTAATCATATAAATAATTAGTCGATTTGAGGGTTTTAATGATCGTAAGAACATATCGGTCAAAGTAGCTTTGATTATGAGACTTTCATCCTCTTCTTCAACAATATTATCAGTTTAATTTCTTACGCCTGCTACTCCAAATGGAGCATAGGCCGGCGACCACATTCTTCAACCCACTCTGTCCTGAGTCTTTCTAGTTCTATCCAGTTGTCGTTCATTCTTCTCATGTCTGTCTTCGTTTCTCGAAGTAATGTGTTATTCGTTGGTCTTTCTCTTCTCCTTTATTTGGCCTTGAGGATTTCAAGTAAGGACTCGCCTTGTGATACAGTTGGGTGCTTTCCTCAATTTGTATCCTATCCACTTACAGCACTTCCTCTTCATTTCTTCCACCTCTGGAATCTACTTTGTTCTCTCTCACATTAGATTATTACTGATAATATCTGGTCAACGGATCCGAAATATTTCGTCTAGACGACTGTTGATAAACACCAACATCTAAGAGTTAATAGATTTTACTAGTAAATGTTAAATGTTTCTAATGTAAGTTAACTTTCGATTTAATTTATTAACTTTACAAAACTTATAAAGTACTTGACTTTAACCTGTTCTGTTTGAATAACATTCAGTGAAACTATTGACTTATTCAAAACTATAGTGTAGAAGTTTAATGAAAACTTATGTTGTATTGAATGCGATTCAGTTATTTTAGTTTCTGACTGTCTATTTCACTTCATATAAAGAGATATTGATTTAAAGTATCTATATGATCGATTATTTATAATCAATAATTATCCTTAAAAATGATCATATTATTCTTTCATATTAGTGATCTTCAGTGTGCATGTCCTAGAAAACCAAACATTACTGTTATAAAGAAATACTCATTTCTTGATATATGCAATCCAATTCCTGGTAAGTGTAATACATGCACAAATTACATTCATGTTATAAATAACTGGGTAATATATTACCAAATTGATTTACCCCCCCCCTCGTCCCTAAATCATGGTTTACCAACGAGACATCAACAAATAGAATAAATGGATGGTTTAACTTCGACTTTTGTCAAGTAGTCAGTATCAATTGATGTAAACTTATCTCTAGTTTATTTACTAATTCTTGAAACACCACAATAGTATTAATATATGAGACAGACAAGGTAATCTCAACGATTGAGCCTAAGACTATCAAGTATCTTAATGAATATTGTAGCTTCAGTTCAGTTTACGATAGTTGATGATTGATATCCAATGGTCAGCGCTTAAATTTAAATTTATGATCGGTAAAGTAGAATATGTCAGAAGTAAAAAAAATTATCCTCTATAGTTATAATAAAAGATGGATAGCGGCTAGCAGTGTAATCCAACATGAGACTGATCTATTGCGGTCCGAAATAACAATGGGAAGATACAAGTAAACAATATCAATTGGACTCTATAGTTATAATTGTGAAATATTCTAATTTGGTTAAAATTTTAAACTTGAATTACTGGTGCTCAATCCAATGATCTGATAGTATGGTATTCATCATGATGCTTGAAAAATTCGTGGTTACGTAACCAATAAATTCAGTGAAGATGGATATTGGATAGCAGTGGAATCCAGGACATGCGTGTCGTCCTATTTTGGTCTCCTCAGCAGCGTGCATCCGTGCTCCCGCCTCGTCAGATCCGAACCCGGGACCTATAAGTCTCACATGCGAGCGCTTAACCTTGAGACCATTGAGCTGGCCGGCATCCAACAGTGTTAATGTCTAACTTCAACTAATCCACGAAATTGATTTTTCTGTAAACCAACTGAAAATCCTAACCCTAATTATTTGTGTTTCGTCACTACATTCAAGTAAAGTGGTCTCCTGAAACTGCTTCGTTTCTCATCGCTACATTAAAAGTACAATTTCTTCAAAAGTAGAAAGTAATTAGAACAATATGAAGTAACCTAGAAACCACATTTTGAAGCCTGATCAACTCATCTTTATATTTAGTCTTATCTTATTAGTCAGCAACCAAGTAAATTAGTGTACTCATGACCTAAACGTTCTACATATGATCTAATTTAACTTTACAAATCGTGTAACCAAATTACCACTTTACATACATTCAGATAAGTTTGAAGTCAACAGAAGAGATTGTCAGTATAGGGTTGTGAAAGTTACTAAGTTTTTCATTGAGATCATGAACCGATTAGTGTTAGAGAATCATTGAAAACCTGGAAGCACTGAACGGCCGTTTTGTCCTACTATGGGCCTCGTCAGCAGTGCGCATCCACGATCCCGCTCGCAGGGTTTTAACTCAGAGCCTTCAGTCTTGCGTCCAAACGTCTAACATCTAGACCACTGAGCCTGTATTCAACGGCATTAATGTTTAATCTCAACTAATGCACGAAATCGCGCGATCATCTTCGATTGTGCTGAGGTATATACCTATCTCTACCCTAAACGGATTAGCTCCAGTGGTCATATCATATCATTATATGTAATGAATGAAACGGATAAAAGATTGAAAACTGATCCAACTATCTTATTTGGTTGCAGTTGATATTGGAGAAGAATGTAATCATATTAATAAAGTATGCCTTAGTCAAAAAGCAATTTGTCTTGAAAATTCAATCAACATACGTCAAACACAACCGACAACAAATCGTAATGTAAATATTTGTGTTTGTCATGAAGGTATGATTCCAGTATATCAGAAGAATTTAGACTATTTTGAATGTTGTAAGTTAATTATTCTATAATTTGAATTAAACTTCTTTTGTTTTCAACTAAGATTTATAAACTTCTCAGTGGATAATTTGTGATCTTATATCTGACTCCAATTAGATCGTATGATATTGTCGACGGGTTCAACACTTTGGTGGGACCTTTCATTCTGATGTCAATTAGATCGGACGATGTTAATGACGGGCTCACCGATTTTTTGTGCCTGAAATCTGACTCCGATTGGATCGTATGAATGTTTGTTGTCAAAATATACATACATCCTGGCTGTCCTCGTATATTATTATCGACCTCATTTGCGTTGGTGAATAACGGAATTAAAATAAATCAAATACAAGAATGGAGGTTTTGAATACTTATATTTTGTACACATTGATCTGGACAGACGATCAAAGGGACGAAGAGAAGAGAGCGAGGCGAAATGACGCCCAATGGAGAAGGCGTGTGAGCTGACTCCATTTAATCAAGCATTACCCATTATTTATAACCAGATAAAAATAGGTTACAGACATGTGATGAATGGGATAAGAAGTGTATATACATAAGCTTACATAAAACAGTCAAGGTTGATAAATGAATAATTAACAAGGTCAAAACCTGACTCAACAAGAATGGATAAATAGCCTGTCCATAAGCTAGAATAAGTTATATGGGTTTAACATAGTAACCGATACACTTCAAAGTAATCTGCAATAATAAACAACTTTCGAACCATTTGTGTATTAAAGATGAAAGGTTCTTATATAACGACTGGTTTGTAACGCGGTTTTGCATTGCACACTAACAACTTTTATAACCTAGAGAGTACTGTACTATTAGTATGAAAATCATAGAAGTGTGTGGAGATTGTTGAATTTTAGAGTTTACATAGCTAACTGATTTCAGTTAGATAACGACTGAAAACCACAAATGACTTGGATGGATGTTTCGTTCTAGTATGGGATGACTTAGTAGTGCAAATCCAAGTATCCACACAGAACTTACAACTCTAATAGAGAGCTTCCAACCTTCAGACCTTTAAGTGGGAATCTAGAGATTCACGTTTCTAACACCGATCCATTCAAATATTCCACGACCACCATCCTCTAAAGATATTTTTGAAGTTCGTTGGTTGTGGATTCTAACGTCAGTTCCTGGAATCACTTGTCGTAGTTAGTTACGAATGAGCGCACGATTATTGTTACTACAAGAATTGTGAAGATTTAGGAAGTTCATGGTTCGTTTCATGGATTGATCTTAATTAGACAACGGGTAGTCAAAATATCAAACACCCACCGTGTGATCTGAAAGACTTGGGTTCTATCGTTGATGGGATCATGGATTCTTACCATTGAAAAGTCTCATGCTGGGAGGAAACATTTGTCCAGTACTCATTGATTTTTAATAGCTTTTAACGAAGATTAACACTTAATGAAAATTACGCAACAATGTCATTCCGAAGACTCGAATTATGATTACTAGATATTATAGATTAACTCAGCTCATAAAAAGCCTGACTGCTAACGATCTAACACTGCTTTATTGAACTACTTACTGATTAAATGCAATTTAGTCGGTCAATATGACCTTAACTGTTATATGTAACGGATTTATGTTGTGAAGGGATTTGCTTCGTTAAAAAATCACCTTTGTAACCGTTATTATATAAGCCTCGACGGTGTTTGAAATGAGAAGGCAAAGAGATGCAGCAACTACAGTTTACCAGGGGATAGCGCAGATCACAAAGCTATGAGCACATAGAGCGAATTTTAAGCGGAGTTGGCTCACATGCCTTCTCCACTGTGCGTTATTTCTCTTTGCTTCTTCACTCTGATTGTCTGTCCAGATCAATGTAAACTAAACATACGTATTCAAAATTTCGTTCTCGTTCCGTTAATCACCAACTCAAGTTAAGTCGATCATAATATACGAGAATAGCCAGGACATATATTTCGATAGCAGTCATCTAATAGCGATCAACATATGACCTAATTAGAGTCGGATCACGGGCCATTAAAATGTAAGCTGACTAATCAAATGTTACTTGTGAACTATTAACTAGTGGTTAAGTGCTCGCGCACGAGACTGATATATCCTGTGTTCGAATCTGGAGAGGCGGGATCATGGATGTGAATTGCTAAGGAATCCCACAATAGGACGTAATGGCCATCCAGTGCTTCGAGGTTTTCTATGGCTGTCTGACTTCAACTGACTCATGATGTCAACCATTGAAATTATTCACCATTTGACGAACATGGAACAATTCATTCCGATTAATTCATAATTTTATATTTCAGCTCCTAATGTTGACAATCATATAAACCTAGTTGGTCTTAAATAATCCAACAGTATGCTCATTTATAATAAACTTTCAAACTTTCTACACTTGTTAACTAAAACTAGAATCTATAAAAATTGATAATACAGAGGAACTTCCAATGGTTACCATTTAGAAACCTTATAGTTCAAGTTAACATTTTTCAATCCATTTCAAATGTCATTGTGAAGGCAACAGAAACAACTAATGACCATGTTAATGTCTAACTTTAATCAATCAACCATATTGCACCACCTTCCACCATTTTCTTCATTCAGTAACTGTCTCACAACAGACACGGTTCAACTCCACTAGTCATGGCTTCTCAATACAACTCCATCAAATCCATCTTCAACCTAGTCACTAGTGAGCACTTCATAGTTATCAGTATAGGGTTGTGCACACTGTTGATTTTACATCAATATCATGAATGGTGGGTGAATGTTAGACGGCAATTGAAAAGCTGGAAATAGTGGATAACCGTCTCGTCCTAGTATGTGACTATTGAGTTGTGAGCATCCACGATCCCTCACGTGGGACCCGGACCCACAACATTGAGACTCACGTGAGAACGCTTAACCTGTACACCAATCAGTCCACATCCAACCATGTTAGTGTCTGACTTCAGTCAATCAACCATATTTCTACACCGTCCACCATTGTCTTCATTCATTAACTGTCTCACAACAGATACCGTTCAACCCCACTAGTCTTCTACTAGGCTTCTCATTAGAATTCCAGGAAATATCAGTCACTACTGAGCACATTATTATTATTATTATTATTATTATTATTATCAGAAAGGGTTATTTTGTGGAGATTGTAGAAATTCAACAGTTGAATTCATGTATCGGTTAAAGCTAGACCACTATGAAAAACTCAGAAGCACGGAAGCCTAAGCGTACACTCACGAGACCGTAGATGCTGAGTTCGAATCTAGTCAGTGATATCATGGATACACACTTTTGAAGAGTTCCATACTACAACGAAACAACCATCCAATACTTTTAGATTTTCCATAGTAATCTAGCTTATATCGAATTATGAATTCAACTCTTCAAATCCCAACATTCTCCACAAATCACCCCCCCCCTCTTTTCTAATAAAAAAGGTGATGTATCTGTAATCCAATTCTATTCATTGTACAATAATTATCTAACATCTTAGTTCTTTTTTTTCTATCTAACTTGAAATGATTCTTTCCTATCTCTTCATATTAATTAAATGATTATCCCTTAGTTATTGTTATTTATTATAAACTATCCATATAAACTGATATGTTACTACTCAATTATTATTATTATTTCTATTCAAGTTTTGCTTCATTTAGACAGTTGCTATGCTACATAATAATAATACTAGTAATAGTATTGATAATACAACAACAACAACAACAACTACTACTACTACTACTACTACTACTAATACTACTACTAATACTACTACTACTACTACTACTACTACTACTACTACTACTACTACTAATACTACTACTACTACTACTACTAATAATAATAATAATAATATGAAACTAGTTTGAAATTAATCAGTTTAAATTAACAAAATAGATTGAATCTATAGGTTAGTAAGTGGAATCATCAATTTCACATAGAGATATATGGATATACCGGGGGGGGACGGACGAGGGAAGTATGAGAAAAATTATTTATAAATCGATAAATTAAGTTTCTTAGCCATCTATAATTTTTTTGTTGTTGTTGTCAATTTGATGAATTGATTTAATATTGTACAAATTCTGTACTCATAGAATAGAAGCATCGTCGATATGATTCAGTTTGAAGTGAATTTGAAATGATATAAGACTATACATGTTATCATGTATGCCCTGTGTCCTATTAATCTAGAACGTAATGATACAGTCAATTAAAGAACAGTGATGAATTGACCAGATCAATGACGCATAAAACCTGTAAGAGCAGTCTAGAGTCCTTATCGGTCCTGCTTCCTACCTAGTCCTGACTGTTAAGTCCAGAACACCAATCTCAGCCTCTGAGATATGAATTATGTATTTCAAACATACTGTGTTTATACATCTGTACAAGATCTAGTCGAAAGTGCCTGTGAATGTGGGAGACTTTCATTAATAAACTGGGAGAAAATCAAGAGCGGTGATTCGTATAATAATAGTTCATAGGTAGAAATAAAGCTTATGATAAGACGAACATGAATATGAATAGTTCAGTTACTCGACAATTATACGACGAAAATATACGTATAGTCCATAAATAGAATTCGATATTTGCCATTCATTATTCTCATCGGGATATAACGAAATTACTACTAGTACTACTACTGTGGTTTTCTTCTCAACTTCCTACCTCTAGACATTCTACTTTCTAATTGTGGTACATACTACATATATCTGTCGACATCAGTAACACATATCACACTACTACAACTACTGTGGTGTGAGCTACTTATATCCACATAAGTAATATATAACGATAGTCAGGAACAGAATGTATTTCAGTGGAAGATCAAGAAAGAAAGAAAGAATGGGAACAGAAAGTAACTGGTATGAAAATACAGGGAAACTGAAATCTGAGACGATGAACTTTCATAATAAGTGGAACACGAATATGAATAGTTTAGTCACTTAACAAGTATACAATAAACGTATACGTATAATATTGTTCCATAAATGGATGTTAAATGTTACCATTCATTATTCTCATTGGGATATAACAGTACATCACTATGGAGTTTCACATCATGATTATTATATGACTCATATATAAGTTAAATCTTATTTAGGTCATTAGTTGTAAATTACCATTAGACAAATAGTATTAAACTATGGGAATCCAATTTCTCAGTTTTTTCACTAAATTAACCTGAATGCTATAAAGTACAATCATTGTCAGGTCATTGATGTACCCTGTTGAATAGTTTCAAATCAAGATAAATAAAACACCGTTGAATGCCGGCCGACTTAGCGATCTATAGGTCAAGCATTCTCGCACCAGACCGATAGGTTCTGGGTTGGAATGCTGCGAAGCGGTATCGTTGGTGAGCACGGCTGAGGAGTCCCATACCAGGATGAAACAGCTATCCAGTACCTCCAGGTTTTCCATGGTTGTCTAGCCTCAAGTGACTCATGAATTTACCTATAAAATTACTAAAATCTATACAAAATCATTTCTGATTAAAATACTTCATTTGCAAAACGTCAATCAGTCGTCTCAGACTTCATTATTCTGTCGTTTCCACACCAACCATTCTTTGTTCTCGTTCTCCGTTCTTTGATCTTTATAACCTTCTGTCTCCAGGTATTTCACTTTCAATTGCTGATACATACTGCTTTCATCTGTCAACATCAGTAGCACACACCACACAAGTAATTCTATTTTCCAGCACAACTGATGATTATAAAAAAAATACATTAATTTTTCACACATTATATGATGATTACTATATAAGCTATATTGCTATGTAGAGCTGAAGGTCTCATATGAGACTGGAGGTTCGTCATTGATATTGTGAATGATTCGGCATTACTTTGACAAGTTTTATTGAATTTTCATGCACAAAATCGGTCTGCTGGTTAACCGATTTCATTCATACTGCTGACTGCTTTGCAGCCTTCTCAAGGGCCATTATTATTGAAACACTGTAAAGCATGTCGCCATTGCAAACATTAATGAGCTTGACTGTCGTGTAAATGGAATATGTCAACATTGGCCTGTTCGTGCTGTGCATAATTGATTCACGCGATTATTGATCGGAATATTTATACATATAATGTATAGGTGTATATAAATGGTACAAATAGTTCATCAGGGTGTTGTGTACCTGTATGATTGCGCCACAGGATTGATTTGTACTATTTAGATTGTAGCGTTAAAGCCTATGTAGTATCTGGTTCTCCTTTGAAGCGGAGTTGAGCTTTACAGCTCAGGTTATAAAGTTTAAGCTGGAGCGATTTCTGGATCTCTCGTTAAACAGGATTGAGATGTGTTATTTAGATTGTCACATGAAAGTCTAGATGGTATCCAATTCTCTTAATACAATCTCCACATGAACCCTACTTTGATTATAATTTCTTATCTATACTCTTTTCTTTTCTTTTTATAAAAATCAAAACAAAACAGTTATCGAAGAAACTGATCCAACTATTATTGATTGTCAACATTGTTATCAATCAAATGGGAAATGTTATCGATTTAATATTGGATCAATAAATCGAAGACAATATCAATATAGTTGTTCATGTTCATTATTTAAACAAAATGATCAATCACTTAGTGATTATTATTATCCATATTATTTAGATATAAATTGGAATAATAAAAAAATCAATATTGAATCTGATCAAGGATCTGAACAAGGAAAACAATTATCAAGGTTTCATATAAAGAGAAAAGATTGTATAGAATATTTATGTAAGTGTTTATGGTTTGAAAGTTCATTAGTGTTGTTTCACTTGAACCTTCTCATTGATACGCTAGGATTGTAATTGATCAGTCTGTAGTACACGGATTGCCTTGATATTGCCTTAATCCATAAACATTCTAAGGAAAGATGGATAGTGGCTAGTAGTGGAATGAAGAACGCGTGTTTCGTCCTATTTAGGACTCGTCAGCTAGATGTACTTAGACCTCACAGTTGATATTCACTCCAGCACTCGAACACAATATTGTTCGCTTCAAACGCTATCTCATTATCCACTGAACTACTGAGTCCTCATAGCCACTAGCTTGTACAATGTGTTCAAGTTTAAATTCATTTTATATTGTTTACTTGAATGTTCCGATTGATGTGTTAAGACTGCAATTGATTAGTCTCTTATTGAAATGTGTGCAATATAGTGTAGGGATTGCCTCGATAGTCTTATTTCACAAGCATTCTAACCACATCACATTGCACAAGCAAGTGACTATCAGGACTCAGTAGCTGAGCACATAACGCGATGATATTTTGAGACGAACGATAATGGGTTTGAGTCGCAGAGTGAACATCAACTTTGAGATGCAGGTATATCCGGCTGGCGAGTCCCAAATAGGACGAAACGTGCATCGTGAATTCCATTACTAGCCACTATCCATCTTTGCTTATAGTGTTGAATATTTTATAGAATATTGCGCACTGTTGAGGAGTTCGATGATAGAACGAAACAGCAGTCCAGTGCTTCCAGGTTTTCCTTGGTGGTCTAGCTGCAATTGACTCATGATCTCAACTACTGATATTACTATAATATCCGCAAAAATCTTTCTGATATGAATAATCAAACGCTTAAGCTTATAGTTAGTAAAGTCTCGTAGCTTTATCAGTAAGTATAACATTAACTGAAGAAAATAAATGTCTGTATAATTGTATATATTTTTAAAGACTTAGTCAAATATTCATATGATGTAAATGGTTTCTAGTTGTAAGTGATTAATTCTAATTGTTGGAAAATTTTATGCCCAGACATTATATTAACTGTCATTTGTCAACAAGGTGTATATACAATAATAAGAGAATAAATGTTACCTGTGGAATTTGAACCAACGTCACCTTGTGTCTCAATCACTTACGTTCTTACTTACTAGGAATATAGTGCCGCCTATGACCCGTTTATTGAAGGCACATAGGTTTGAAAATCTCTCACCATTTTCTTTCCTTTCTCCCAGTCCGTGTCGTCCCATGATGTCTTCATATCCGGTATTGTCCATTCCAACCTTGGTGTTTAAGTCTTCCATCAGAATAGTCAAGTCCTTTGTTGGGAACTTCTCGATGATTGACTGCAGCCTATTGTAGAATTGGTCTTTAGCGTCTTCACTGTAGTGTTTGGTAGGTGCATAGCATTAGATGACGTTCATTGTAATGCCCTCTTTCTTTGTTTTGAAGAAGGCTTTGATGATCCTTGGTCCATGAGATTCCGATCCAATAAGTGCATTTTTTGCTTGTTTGGATGATATCAATGCAACTCCTTGTGTATGTGGAGCATTTTCTTCTTCATTTCTGGAGTATAACAGCAGCTCTCCTGAAGCTAGTGTTTGTTGTCCAACCTGCGTCCAATGTGTTTAACTGATTTCAAGTATCTCCAGGTTGTATCTCTACATTTGTGTAGGAATTTGGAAGGCTCTGCCAGTCTCTTACATTGTATGAACAATCACTGTACCTAAATTAATGGTTGCTTTGGTTGTCAGAAGGGGCATCAGACTCGTGACTTTCAAAGGAACTCGCCTTTCACCATGAGGTGTCATAACTATTCTTACTGAAGACCCTCTGATTCCCAGGGCAGAGTTTGAATGGTTTGAATAATTTTTTCTGGTTAGCGTTATTCTAGTGAGTTAGTCTTCTACGGGATGGGGTCGCTAACCTCATGCCCAACCCTCATCCTTTATCCGGACTTGGGAGCGGCAGTAGCTCTAGAGGGGCTCCAGACGGAGTTGTGTCCTAATCACAGATATGATTTTATTTGAGCTATCACAGAGTTGTTATTAGAACTGATACTTCTGATTGACTGTTTACAAACCATTACGAAAGAACGTTAAGGAGGAAGAATATATTTGTAAAGAAAGAACTTTGGTCATCTTGATTTATTAACTAAGAATATTCGGTTTAAAAGAAATTAGAACAGTCAACTATTCTTCATTTCAGGTAACTGAACTGGAGTTAAGTTAAAACTAAATCTCTAATTCTCATATTTCTGAATATTAAGTAAGCAAATAGAGAGAGAGGAAATATTATTTTGAAAACAGACCAATAGTGTTGTTGTTACGCCTGTTATCCTTCATGTAGGACCATTAACCAACCACCAGCATTCTCCATCCAACTCTGTCCTGCGCATTCCTTTTCATTTCTTTTCAGTTGTTATTTATCCTTTTCATGTCTGCTTCGAATTCTCTACTCAGTGTGTTCTTTGGCCTTCCTTTCTTTCGTTTCCCTTCAGGATTCCAAGTTGGCGTTTGTCACGTGATGCAGTTTGATTATTTCCGTAATGTATATTCTATTCATTTCGAACATCTTTTCCTAATTTCCTCTTCAACTGGAAGTTGGTTTGTTCTCTCCCACAGTAGATTATTGCTGATGGTATCTTTTCAACGGACATTCAGTATCTTACGTAGGCAATAGTTTATAAATACCTGTACATTTTTGATGATGGTTGCTGTAGTTCTCAAAGTCTCAGCTGCATACAGTAGAACTGTCTTAATGTTCGTATTGAAGATTGTGACTATGATATTGATTGACAGTTGCTTTGAGCTCCATATGTTCTTTAACTCTAGGAATGCTGTCTTTGATTTTCTTAATCCTTGTCTTTACATCCACATTAGGTCCTCTTTGTTCATTTCTCATTTTCCTTTACTTCTTTTTATTAGTACAGATTACATGTAATCAAGAAAGTATTCATATCTGTTTTAAAAATCCATATCAAACATCAATGATAAGAACCAATCATAGATCAAGAAGCATTCAAGTCTACTTGGATACATCAATGATCTTTCCTCAATTTATTCAAAATGAATTCAACTATTCTATAGATGATCAAAAATGTTATTTAATCAAACAGAATAATCATAATCATGATGAATATTGTTTATTAATTAATTTTAATCAATTCAATGAATTGAGACAATGTGGAATTTATGAAATAAGTTATAAGGTAAGAAAGATTTGTTTATTTGTATTTAAAGTGTTTAATTGATAAATGTTCGAACACAAGATTGAAGGTTTTAAGTTCGAATCCTGCTGGCTAGGTGGGATCGTGGATGCATACTGTTTAAGAGTCCTATAATGGGATGAAACGCGTATCGTGCATTCCACTCTTAGCCACTGTTACGTCCTTGATCTGTTTATCCACTTTTAGTGCTGAGGACAACTTGTCTAATCTAGATTAAGACCTTGACGCGATAGGTTGACTGGCTTAACCTTGAGGCCAGTACGCATGAGTCCGAAGTGGAGTAGAGAGAAGAAACCTATTCTATCACCTGATTGGCTGGCAAGTACGCGAGTAAGAGAATACAAGTCAACTGGAACACTACTTCATTTATTCTCGATTCCGATCTGGTTCCCGATTTCAGATTAGTGTAAAAAGATACATGAATAAATAGATGACTAACCCGACCACAACGTACAATAATTAGGAAAATACAATTACGTCCAAAACTGGGGATTAACGTAGAAAATAAAGTACAGAATAATACGTTTAAATTACAATAGCTTTGGAACAAAAAGGGCTATGGCGGTGAATCATACATCAAACGAAAGCTTATGGTCTGTAGAATAGATTAGGGACAAAAATAAATGTTACTGTTTTACAAGCTTTGAATTAACTGAAATAACGTCCTGAAAAATTAGCTTTTGTAATTTGTCAAGGCTTCTCGTTTCTCTGTTGACATCACCACTATCCATCTTTGCTCATGATGGCAATATCATGGCAATCTACATGATTAGGTACTGTTGATTAGTGTCAAATCTTTTGAGTAAAATCGTTCATCTTTTCAAATGAAATCAGTAGTCAGTTGATTTAGTGGTCAACATGAAATTGAAATCTCTTGCTCAAGTTAGGTATTGTTATTTATATAGTTATATAATATACCCTTGTGGGGCAGGGTAATTCTACATTGGTTTTCAGGAGAACTAGACACTAACCAGACTTTCATGTGACAACCCAAACAGTACAGCTCAATCCGGTTTAACAGGAGAGCCAGACACCGCCCAGGCTTAAGTTTTATAACCCGAGCAGTACAGATCAATCCCGCTTCACAGGAGAACCAGACACCGTATAGGCTTTAACGCTACAATCGGAGTAGCACAGCTCAATCCTGCGGCGCAACCACACAAGTACTAAACACTTTGGTAGACCACGTATTGTATTTAGAGCAAACTAACCAACATACATCATATTTAATTTAACATACATAGCACTGTTATTACATAAATGCATTTTGCATGTCAAGCTGAATCAGGGTATACTAAAGTTTGGATAAGTTTCTTTTGTATATATAGTTCCAGTTTTTGTCAGATACAATGGCAAATGAAAGTTGTTCCTGTCGATTGTTCCTAAAAATTGATCGGCTAGAGAATACTAAACGCAATGTTGCTGAGAGAAATGCTATTTTAAGAGATTCAAAGATTCTTCTCTCTAGGTTGTCAGTAGTTTCGTTACCTCTGAAATCTATGTTTACCCAAATTATTGTCGTTTATACGGAGGTTTTTGGTATTTATGATGGTCTGTATCTGATATTCTTGTTATTAATTCTCGATTAGATACCCATTTTCAACAAGTATTCTCCTTAGGAGATTGAAGCAATTCTGTAGCAATGTGGAAGGCTCTGCCAGTCTCTTACATTGTATGAACAATCACTGTACCTAAATTAATGGTTGCTTTGGTTGTCAGAAGGGGCATCAGACTCGTGACTTTCAAAGGAACTCGCCTTTCACCATGAGGTGTCATAACTATTCTTACTGAAGACCCTCTGATTCTCAGGGCAGAGTTTAAATGGTTTGAATAATTTTTTTGGTTAGCGTTATTCTAGTGAGTTAGTCTTCTACGGGATGGGGTCGCTAACCTCATGCCCAACCCTCATCCTTTATCCGGACTTGGTACTGACAGTAGCCCATAATAGCTCCAGATGGAGTTTTCTTAGGAGATAAAATTCATCATAAGCGAAATCAGAAGTGCAAACTATTTGTACTGAGAGATATGAGTAAATTTCCACTTCTACCAAAAAGAAACACCTGTGGAATTTTGATGGCCGATTATTTCATGATAATATTCTATGAATCTCCTGACAGTCCTATCGGATATACTTTGTCTGTTTTTAGGTTCAATTATGAATTTCATAACAGATAACAGTTGTCAATAGTCACAAAGGATAAATGTATCACTGAAAATGAACAAATATCCGACTAAGCAGTTATTAAACTGGATTAAAAATCACTTTTTGTACTTCGTCCTAATAATCTTAACTTTCCTTTTATATTTTTATAGTATGGATCTGTATTTTATGGCACATTACATGCTGAAATTACAAAGAATGAGGTTTCATTATTGAGAAACGTTCATATTGACTTTGTTTGTCATATCAATGTTTCTTATTTGAATGGGTCAAATCTATCTACTTCATACTTCTATGATAGGTAAACTACCTATATATAATATATATATATATATACATATATACATATATATATATATGCTGCCAAGATTTAATAAGATTTAATGTCTGTGTTTGTTTGGTGATTTGAATTTTTATTTCTACTTGCAGTATACAGTTTCCAATAGACCCCTTAAAACTTGACTCCACTTTTATTTCAATCATTTGTGCTACTTAATAATAATAAAGTAGTTCAAACTATAATGAAAACGTTTCCAGCTCATTTATTGAAAGTAGTTGGATTCTTTTAATTAAAACGAACTGCTTACATTCAAACCTCAATGGTACGCTTCATTTTTTAAAAATTTGAAACGGCATTTCTGAATGTTTCGCTTACTTATTTTGCATGTGCAATGTACTCCTCGAAAGATTATCTTCAAAAGTAATACTTATTATAGAAAGGCTGTTTTATTTACTTTCTTTATGCAACTGTGAATCGAATGCGCTTCATCGACACACATTAATTTGGACTTTACTGTTGTTGTTGTAAATGAAACCAATACAAATAGACTGATCTCGTCTCTTGCATAAGGGACTTCTGTGTAGTGATTTGGTCATTCGATTGTGTTAGGATAGTCGGAAAAATATACCAATAATTATCGTGTTAAGTCTATGGTGTCCTTGAACCTTAAATGTACATTTCTTATTGGTCGATGTTTATTTCACTTGTTAAATATTTTGTAAATGTTGTTTCCTATTTTATGGTACGATGTAGTATGCTTGATTGGTATATAAACAAAGTATGTTTGAAATATAATGATTCATAACTCAGAGGCTGTGACTTGCGTTCTTGACTCAACTGGCTGGGACAGACTGCGAAGCGGGGCCAATCAGGGCACTAGGTCGTTCATACGTGTTTTCCGTGTCACTGTACTGCGATCGATCAATAAAACGCTGTCTATCAAAACCTGCAGTCCCACACACGTTACAACAGATTGGAAATTATGTTTACTTACTTACTCTTGTTACTCCCAATGGATCATAGGCCGCCGACCAGAATTCTCCAACACACTCTCTCCTCCGCCTTCCTTTATAGTTCTATCCAATTATTGTTTATTCTTCTCATGTCTGTCTCCGCTCCTCGGCGTAATGTGTCATTTGGTCCTTCTCTTCTACTCTGTCCTTGAGGATCCCAAGTGAGTGTTTGCCTTGTGACGCAGTTGATTGCTTTCCTCAATATGTGTCATATCCACTTCCAGCTCTTCTTCCTCATTCCTTCCTCCATTAGAATCTGGTTTGTTCTCCCCATAGTAGGTTGTTGGAAACTATGCACCACTCGACAATGTGTACGAAATAGAGTTCTTTGACAAAGACTATCTTGGACAATCTAATTTGTAAATAACCAACTGTCATTTAATCTTCGGCATGTAGATTTTATGTGATTGACAATTTCATTTCACTAATGAGTTAGTTCCTCTATACGTCAATACAGGAATGTCAAAAAATAGTTCAGATATTACAAATTTTTCCTCTAACAAATTTTAAAATATCCATAATCCTCTAATGCTCTTTTGTTCTTAAAGATCGATCACCTTTAAAAAAAGAAATGGTCAGCTGGCTTTACCTAAAAAATCACCAGGAATCAACAAGTTTCTGACAACGAAATACATCGAAAAGCTCACTTTGCAAGACGAAAGAACACGAAATACTAGTTCCAGTTCAATATCTTTGTCCATAATTAACTTAAACAAAAATATTTCTCAAAATCATGAAATGACATTAAAAATCTCTTCTTCATTATCTGGTAAGAAATTTAAATCTAGACTTTTTGTTCAGTTATTTGCAACTATTCAATTAATAGTTGAGTTCATGAGTCATTTGAAGCTAAACAACCATGAAAAACCTGGAAGCACTGGATGACTGTTTTGTCCTATTGTGAGACTCCTCAGCAATGCGCATTCACGATCCCGCCCCGCGAGATTTGGACCCAGGACTGTCGGTCCACAGAAACTCTTTCTAATAATAATCATCATATGCTCGCTGGTGACTGGCTTCAAGAGATATTACTTGGAGTTCTAGAGAGAAGCAGTGACCAGTGGAGTTCAACCAGGTCTGTTATGAGATAGTAATTCCCTGAAGACAATGGTGGACGGTGGCTCAATTTCGTGAATCGGTTGAAGTTACACATTAACACCGTTGTATGCCGGTTGGCTCGATGATCTACAGTTCAAGCGCTTGCACGCGAGACCGATAGGTTCTGGGTTGGATTCCTGCAAGGCAGGATCGTGAATGTGCACTGCTTAGGAGCCCCACAACAGGACGAAACGGCCGTCCAGTGCTCCTAGGTTTCCCATGGTTGTCATTTAATCTTTTGAATGTATATTTTACGCGACTGACAAATTCATCTCAGTAATGAGTCAGTTCCTCTGTATGTCAATACAGGGATAATTCATGAACCCAACTATTAAATTACTATATTATCCACAAAATCCCTCTCTGATTATAATACCTAATTTGTTAATTTTCTTTCTTCATAATTTATTTAGAATTCATATTAATAGAATATTGTTTGGTCAAAGGTCAGTCGATTCCTTCCAAAATACTACCAACTTATGAACATGAAAAACTCTTAGATTTAAAGTAAGTACGTACGTACGAAACAGACAGCAAATTTATACAAATACTCTTGTGATATTTGATTTGAAATCTTAACACTATTAACACGTTTTCATGCCTGTCTACTTATCTTAACATCGTAGTATTGAAGGAAATGAAATCTATTTGTCAGAGACTTTAGAGTAAATGCAAAACTTCTGGTCTGCGTCAACACCTGAACTAAGGATAGGGAGTGATGAAGTAGTCGAACGCGTTGACAACTTCACTTATCTTGCAAGTCTGATCAGCCCTAATGAGTTGGTGTCTGACGAAATCTCAGCACGGATTCAAAATACTTGTTTGACTTTTGCCAACTTACGTCACCTATGTAGAAGGCGAGATATCTGTCTATCAATTCAGGGAAGAGTATATTGTACAGCAGTTTGTTCTGTTTTAACTTACGGCTGCGAAACGTCGCCATTAGGAGTAGAAGATACTCGTAAGCAACTAATATTTTACCATAGATGCCTTAGAAATAATGGTCGCATCTTCTGGGATCATCGGGTAAGTAATAATGAGGTCAGATGCATGAGATTAGGGAATGATAGTAAATCAGTTGATGAGGTTATGAATCTTCATCTATTGAGATGGTTGGGTCACGTGTTACATATGCCTGAACACCGATTATCATGACGCGCAATGCTGACTAGTTTTGAGGATGGCTGGAAGAAAGTTAGGGGGGCCACATCAAAACGTGGTATCAGTGCTTAAAGTCACTGACTTCTGGTCTGAGTCATGTCGGTAGATACAGACTACTTAGTTGGGGTCCGGGTGACTGTCGTAACCAATGGTTGGAGACTCTGGGTGACATGGAAAAGAATCGGTCACAATGGCGTCGGTGTATACATTCTCTGTCTTTCTTTAAAGCATGAGATTAAAATTACTTTATATCTTTCTTTCTACGAACTAATTCCTTCTTTCTGTACTATATCCTTACATAAAATCTTTCCTTTGTATATTACACCATTGAGTTAACCGCTTCTATGAATCCAGTGTTCGTCTTGCTCTGCTAATGAGGTATGGCGACTTGGACCGATGCATATATGTGCCTGGCCCTACATTGTAACTGACTGCCTGACTAACAACTTCTAGTATTTTGTAGTTCAAATGAATGACTTCATGAATAATGCCTATAATTTTAATAAAACGTTTATAAAAGTAGTTTGATCTTAACATAATGTCCATCAATGACTGACAATATTCAAGAATTAAAGAAAACAAGAGAGGATTAGACAGTTGTTTCATTCTAACGTGAGACTATTCAGAATGAAAAATGCACCCAAGACCTCGTTGAGGAAAAAGTCCAAGAATTCAAGTTTCATAGAGAGCACATTTCCTCTAAGATATTGATTTACAATCTTAACAAATCGATACACAAGAAAGATGACATGTCACAAATATATAAAAGGGCGAAACTATAATGTATAGACGAACCAATCACGTATAAGATAACAAGTTTCAGAGTTTGGTGCGGAATTCATTCATCCGTTTGGCGAAATAGATTTTTGGCATTCTAGCTAATGTCAGTTTGTGACAAAAACCCTAAATCTAATTCTTTACCTTAACAATCAACTGTAAATCATAATTCGAATTCCTCACATTAGTTTATAACCCACATTTGGTCCTAGTTATTAGGTGGACACTCTCAAGGTCACCCTAGCATCACTCAAAGGTCGTCCATACATTATAGTCTTACCTATAAGAGTTTATAAAAATAAAGAAACCTTATGTTGTACCTAATATCGAAATCGTTTTTGACCAAGGATCTATGGTTAATCAGTTGTGCCGATTAAATATTCTCTCTTTATCTCTCTCTCTCTCTTTAACAAATAAACACAGTATTTTACTGAGAATCGATTGTACAAATCTGTACTCGATCAGTTACTACATCCTTTTAGACTGGTATAGATACTAGTTTGATATTAATTGATTTTAGCTGATAGACAACAATGTTACAAAACGTATAGTAATACAGAAATTACTATTTCTAATCAAAGCCTATCATTCTTCGATGAAGTCGTCGGAGATTAGAAAACTATCAGGAACAATTCGATTAGTAATAGCTCTTCAGAAGGTTCTAGAAGTTTAAATACAGACTGATTATCTTTTAATTATCCTTATTAAACAATAAGTCTATTTGTTATTATATACATTTTTTTCCAGAAACTTCTTACAAATCCATTTGATTTCGACACATTCACTAACTTTTAATTTTTTGTAGAAGTTTGTGACATCTGGGGGTTAACGATTTGTTGCGGAGTCATTAATAATCTCCATGACCCCTATACTAGTGATTAACTTGTGCTCACTAGTGACTAGCTTCGTGAGGGAATTCTCGGAGTTCTAGTGAGAAGCCGTGACCAGTGGAGCTAATACATGTCGGTAGAGACAGGTATCTACCTCAGTACAATGGAAGATGGTCGCGCAATTTCATGGATTGGTTGATGTTAGACACTATCACCATTGGATGCCGGTTCAGTGATCCAGTAAGTTAAGCGTTCGCGCGCGAGATCGAAGGCCCTGGCTTCGAATCCCGAGAGCGAGCTCGTGGATGTGCACTGCTGAGGAGTCCCACAATAGAACGAAACGGCCGTCCAGTGCTTCCAAGTCTCAAAGGTGGTCTAACATCAATCGGTTCATGATCTCAATCAAAAACTTAATAATCTCCACAACCCCTATACTAGTCATTATGTAAGCATTCAAGTACAAGAGGTATCGAAATACGATCACGGTAGAGGAACTCATCCATATGGCTCCCTAATAGTCGGTCTCTGGAGCCATGATAAGATCGGGAAACGATGCACATCACTAAGTCTGTGTAGGCATTTGTACGCTCTTTAACCATCCGTATATATTGTAGTACCTGGCTTCAGTCAGTGTTACTGGTGCTTGTCATAAACTGCCTTAATCTCAATGTGGATTGAGCGAAAAAAATCATATACTGGCAGAATTCTTCCTCTAACATATATTACATCGAAAGACAATATCATCACGGTAGTCTACACAAGATACCACAAGTCATTTGATTACCACAATCACAAATAAAGGAGCTTCTTAGTGTCACATTTGTTATAGCCGGTCGATTATCACGTTTTCTCTTAAATTCGCTCTGAAGCGATTGTACTTTAGCATCAGTCACTGAAATCGACGCCATGGCCTTGAAATCCCTCAAGCGCTTCTGATTGGTTCGTCCATAAATTAAAGACTTGTCGAAATTACTAGTAATCAGTATATGTCATTAGCGAGAACTATCGCTCAAACGTTAAGTGATTAAACACCAATCTAAAATTCACAATTTTTATACACTTTGGCGGCGCTTTTTTTTGTGATTCAATTAATTTTAGTTAAAGGTGTTCCAGAAATATCCCTCGTCAAAGTCTATAAGCCCTCAGAAATGCCGAAAACATGTTTGATCCAATCAACGTACAATAGAATCTCCTCAGAAACATCTAGGAAATGCAGAATTACATGTCATGGTTTTAGTTGGATAGTTACCTATGATATTTCTACATTTAGTGTGGATCCAGAAATTTCCAGAGGACCAAAGTCGTTTTAGATGGAGTTTTTTCTCTGAGTTGGATGGCTTACCCGTGTAGCATTTATCGTTATTCTAAACAATGTCATCAGCAGAAACTTCAGGTAGAAGTGAAATGTTCCAATTTCATCACATATAGCTCACAGCTTGTTCTGTAGACCTCGATGTTGATTGGTAATTGTCGACCGTAAACCTGTCATTGTTTACTTCTTTGTTGATGTCGTTCACAAGAACGATGAAAGCTTCACGACCAAACCATTCAGCTCAGAGAACAAAACTCCATCGAAACCATCCACCTGAGCTACAAATTTTCTCCAACTTCTCAAGACCAAAGTTGTGTGTACCCATATAAGTACCCTCATTTCTCTGCACATCAACTGATCTCTCAGTAAAGAGTTCTTTTCGCACTTTGCATCTTGTCTCTTGTTTTCAAGTTTCCAAGCAGATTTAACCTGAGATTATTAGCAAGTAGATAAGAAATTAGATCGACCGTTCACTTATTGGAATTCTTAGTTTTTAATGGCATTTTTTCTGTAAGCTGGATGCTTTGCTCGTGTAACTTTCATCGTCATTCTTGACAATATCATCAGCATAAACTTCAGGTAGAAGTGAAGTGTTCCAATTTCATCACATATGGCTCACAGCTTGTCCTGTAAATTTCGATCTGGATTGGTTCTTGTTGACCATTAACTTGTCATTGTTTAACTCCTTATTTTGGTTGTATCTCCCATTGGTTTGATTCTTGGTCCTATATTTGTCCATAATCTTTCTAATTGGCTGATAAATTGGATCGATTTCAGTGTGCTTGTTGATTGCTGATTGACCTGAGTTCCAAGCTTCTAAAAACTCTTCGGTGTTTTCAGAATTGCCTCTATTCAAGATCTCATCAATTTTCCAGTCGAATGTGTGTCCACAGTTGTCCACATTCATTAATGTAAGTGAGCATATGTCATAGCGTTTTGCCGCTAGTTGATGTCCATGTAGGCGAAGATGAAGAGGGCGTTCATTTTGACCGATGAAGTGTTTAACGCAGTTGGAACAATTTATTTTGTAGATGATGTTCAGTTTTCCTTCTTTTGTCATTTCATCCCTTGGTTTGCATAGGATTGGTTGCAGTGGTTTTATTGGTTGGTGTGTTACACCTATTCTGAAAGACTTCAACAATCTCGTTGTAGTTCCTGATATGCCTTTTATACATTGTAGAATGATCCGTTTGTTGTTCTCTGTACTTGATTTTGTTTCTGGTGAGACATTTGGCTGATATATTTTGATGAATTTGACTGGGTAACCGTTCTTTTAAAAGATTATCTTCAGGTATTTTACTGCGTTGCAAGTGTATTACTGTGTGTTCTCTCTCTCTTCAACAGAGATTGTACGCAGTTGATTTCGTGAGCTCTTGGGTTATTGCTAACTAATTGAAAACTTGATCTGTGTAGGTCTGTTTCCGATATATTGGAGTCTCGAGTTTTCCTGTGTCAGTTCTGATAATTAATACATCTAAGAATGGTAGTTTATTGTTCGATTATTGTTCCATTGTGAAGTTGTTGTCATCAAAGACGTTATTGATCAGATTGTAGATGTTTTCTAGCTCATCCTTTTTGACAACGACACATGTCCCGTCCACATAAGGAATCTAAATGTTTATTTTAAATAAACTAATTAATAACACTACTCAACTTAAAAAATGTAAGTTGATAATGTTAATCTACACAATAACAATTACCATTCCTATAGCCTTTCTAAAGCTGCTTCTGTTATTTTCCCAAAAATAATATTGTTATAACTTGTGGGTTTGTGACCCTATCAATATATAACGTAGTGATACCTTCAATTGGAAAACAGTAAATTATCGCTCGGACCAATGACATATAAAACCTGTACGAGCAGTATAAAGTCCTTATCGGTCCCGCTTCCTGCCTAGCCCCACATGTTAAGTCCAGAACACCAATCTCAGTCACTGCGATATCAGTCATTATATTTCAAACATACTGGGTTTATATACAAGCAAACAGACTACATCTTAGCATAAAATAGAAAATACATATTTGCACAAGTCTTAGCCAAATGTGGCCGTAAATATGGGAGATAGTAATTGATAGACTGAGCATAACTCAAGAACGGTTATTCGTATAATAATAATTCATAGGTAGAAATAAAGCTTATGATAAGATGAACATGAATATGAATAGTTCAGTTACTTAACAATTATACGATAAAAATATACGTATAGTCCATAAATAGAATTCGATATTTGCCATTCATTATTCTCATCGGGATATAACAAAATTACTACTAGTACTACTACTGTGGTTATCTTCTCAACTTCCTACCTCTAGACATTCTAATTTCTAATTGTGGTACATACTACTTATATCTGCCGACATCAGTAGCACACACCACACTACTACAACTACTGTGGTGTGAGCTACTTATATCCACATAAGTAATATATAACGATAGTCAGGAACAGAATGTATTTCAGTGGAAGATCAAGAAAGAAAGAAAGAAAGAAAGAAAGAATGGGAACAGAAAGTAACTGGTATGAAAATACAGGAAAAATGAAATCTGAGACGATGGACTGTCACAATAAAGCTTATGATAAGTGGAACACAAATATGAATAGTTTAGTTACTTAACAATCATGCAATAAAAGTATACGTATAGTATTGGTCCATAAATAGATCCCAACAGTTACCATTCATTATTCTCATCGGGATATAATAAATATTTTGATCTAAATTCACTAGTGAAATTGAAGTAAATTTCTCACACGTAACACCTTAAATATCTATTCGGATATGAGTTACCAATATAGTGAACGAGACCACCAATAAAGACAATCGAATGCATTTGAACACAAAGTTACAGAACAACGTTCCCACACCAATCACTTTCTGGTGTCATTTTCTTCTCTTTTATCTTCTTAACTTCCTGTCGCCAGGTATTTTACTTTCGATTAATGATACATACTACTAATACCTGTCAATATCAGTAGTACACATAACTTTAATAAATATTAACTTGTATCTTCTTATTTATTTTTTTGTTTCCATTAGATGTTTCAATACAAACATTCATAGAATTAAACAAATGATTGATATATATAATAATAATCTAATAGAATATCAATGTATTTTATTCAAACGAATCATTCATCATCGGACATCGAATAAGAATCATTCAATTTGGATTAGTCAATCATTTCATTTAAACAATATCTCATTATATAATACTGTTTATTCTACTTGTCTTATACGTGTTTGTCAAATAGAACAACTTTGTACATATGTAAGTAGTTAAAGAAAGAAAAAAAGAGCGTAAAATTACATTGTTGGAAAGTATTTACTTACAGAAAGAGGGTGGCTTGTGGAGAATGTAGTGATTTTAAAAGTTGAATTCATAAGTCAATATAAGCTAGATTACTATGGAAAATCTAAAAGTATTGGATGATCGTTTTGTTGTAGTATGGAACTCTTCAAAAGTGTGTATCCATGATATCACTGACTAGATTCGAACTCAGCACCTACGGTCTCGTGAGTGTACGCTTAGGCTTCCGTGCTTCTGAGTTTTTCATAGTGGTCTAGCTTTAACCGATACATGAATTCAACTGTTGAATTTCTACAATCTCCACAAAATAACCCTTTCTGATAATAATAATAATAATAATAATAATAATAATAATAATAATAATAATGTGCTCAGTAGTGACTGATATTTCCTGGAATTCTAATGAGAAGCCTAGTGGAAGACTAGTGGGGTTGAACGGTATCTGTTGTGAGACAGTTAATGAATGAAGACAATGGTGGACGGTGTAGAAATATGGTTGATTGACTGAAGTCAGACACTAACATGGTTGGATGTGGACTGATTGGTGTACAGGTTAAGCGTTCTCACGTGAGTCTCAATGTTGTGGGTCCGGGTCCCACGTGAGGGATCATGGATGCTCACAACTCAATAGTCACATACTAGGACGAGACGGTTATCCACTATTTCCAGCTTTTCAATTGCCGTCTAACATTCATCCACCATTCATGATATTGATGTAAAGTCAACAATGTGCACAACCCTATACTGATAACTATGAAGTGCTCACTAGTGACTAGGTTGAAGATGGATTTGATGGAGTTGTTGTGAGAAGCCATGACTAGTGGAGTTGTACCGTGTCTTTTTTGAGATTTCCATCCTACAATTACTTTTTGTACTGTTTTGGATAGCATCAGTACAACTTTTTAAGTGGGATAGTTACTTTCAAACAAAATGTCAAAGCTTAGTAACATAACATAACAAAAAATCATTAACTTCAGTAACGATTATTGATCATTTAGATAATCAACCATTTGTCAAATTTTTAATAGTTGAGATCATGAGTCAATTGAAGCCAGACCACCTGGAAGCACCGAACGGTCACTTTACCCTATGACTCTGCCTCCCGAGATTCGAACCCAGGACATATCAGTCTCACGCGCGTGAGCGCTAGACCGGCATCCATCGGTGTTATCCACAAAAATAGAACCCCTTCTGATATATTAATTTGTCAGATTGTCAGCTTTTAATTATTCTGAACAAATATGATGCATCAATTTCTTATCCTTCTTTTCTTTTTGGTTACAGGCTGAATTTTATTCATTGAATAGAACAAATAAACAATATAATGATCCATATGTACAGTCTAAAGTGTATATACCATTGATAATGTTGAATGATAATAATAACTATAGAAACAAATCGAAATTATCCCACTTATTCCCGCCAATAAATTTTAATAATTTAATACAATTTTACTTTATTCAATCTACATTACAAATAAATCAAACTAATATAAACATACAATTGAATGATTCTATTGATGTATATTTTAAACATTCAACTATAAGTAAGTTCATCTTGGTTTCGAACAACTATAAGCTGTTTTCTTTTCAATAGTTGAAATAATGAGACGATTGAAGCTAGACTACCATGAAAAACCTGAGTTCGAATCTCGCGGGGCCGGGATCGTTGATGCGCACTAGTGAGGAGTCCCATACTAGGACGAAACGGCCGTCTAGTGTTTCCAAATTTTTTCATGGTGGTCTAGCTTCAATTGACTCATCATTTCAACTAGTGAAATTACTAAAATCTCCACAAAACCCCTCCTTTTCTTTTCGTTAGTTGATTAGTAGAGAATTATCAGTTTTATAGAGATTGTCTTTAATTATAGCCCCTAAATTCCATGATACGGACAAAAGTGATGGGTCAAATTTTCCTCTCTAAATGCTCTCACATGGCCATGTACATACAACCAGTACCAGGGACGTTTTGGTGTTGTTTCGGAAATCGAGAAGGAAAGCGAATGTCCGACGCTTTAACCGGATCGACGAACACAGAGAATCCACCTATGAGAGTTCGAAAGCTCTGACTCCAAACTAATAGTGCACATGGGCTCCAGGATCTTGAAGAAACAAATGGCGTATGAACCTATTGTTGGTCATCGGCTAATATGGTCCTGCATCTTCTGATGTTTTTAATTGGATATGTCATTTACTGATAAGCAAAAGAATTTTTAATTTATCTTTATGTATGCTTAACACAGAATATGTTCAGTTCATATTGTCAATATAGATTGAAATGCCTCACTATTGCTTATTTGGTATTAAAAGTTTTGGATAATGAATTTAAGTTTTAGTGTGAATGTTAACACTAGAATTTAAGTAGATCCAACTGATAACACTCAGATCAAGCAAAGAACACGCTCTAGAATCCTCTGATATAAGTCTAAATTTTAATCATAAGATGAATCACTATTATGTTCACGAAAACCCTATATTTTGGTTGGACAATATGAATTACAAAATCTTTATATTCGTTAGAATGAACTCAGAAAACCGAAACAAGAGCTCATGTATCAGGGGAATTCAGATTCTCCTAACGAACTTTATGATCAATGTTCTACAATGAAGAATAGTTTATCTCCACCACATAGAACATGGAAAATGTAAAAACCTTTACATATCTGGGCAACATCACTGATGAACTCGGTGGATTTGATGCAGATGTGAAGGCACTGATCGGCAAAGCAAGCGAAACATATCTACAACTGAAGAGCATCTGGAACCCAAAACAATTGTCAACCAACACCAAGGTAAAAATTTTCGTCACAAATACCAAAGCAGTTCTACTGTATGTGGCGGAAACTTGTAGAACTACGAAACCCATCATCCAGAAGATACAAGTGTTTATTAACAGTTGTCTATGCAAAATATTTCGGATTTGTTTACCAGATACTATCAGCAACAACCTACTATGGGAGAGAACAAACCAGATCCCAACGAAGGAAGAATTCAGGAAAAGGCGCTGGAAGCGGATAGGACACATATTGAGTAAAACACCCAACTGAGTAACAAAGCAAGTCCTGAAGGCCAAATAAAAGACAAGAGGAAGACAAAAAAACACATTACGCTGAGAAACGGAGACAGACATGAGAAGAATGAACAAGAATTGGATAGAACTAGGAAGGAGGGTCGAGAGCAGATTGGGTTGAAGAATGGTGGTCGGCGGCCTATGCTCTATTGGGGGTAACAGGCATAAGTAAATAAGTAACCACATAAAAGTCAGCAGGTATTAGTGATGGTATTTACTACGTGGATTTTAAATTGCCTTAAACAATGAAATTTACTGAAAGAATATGGTTTCCAATTCTCATAAGACATTGGATAATTGATAACACCACTTCTATCTTTTTTATATTACAGATGCGAACAGATCACTAGAATATGTTTGGATTAAGTATATATTGGGAATTTCCATTTTTACTTTGATGTGTCAAATAATGATATTTTCATTTAAGCATTTGAAGAAATGCTACACAAAATATAAACTTGTCAACCATAGAAATCCGTTTATAATGACAGCGGTTACAAGTAAGCATGTTCATTTTGTTTTAAAATGTTTGCTACTTATAAGTAGTACGAGTGATAATGACAATGTTTGGGCGTCCATTACCATCTATAATATTTAATGTAGTATAGGGAAGATCTAATCGGAACCGAAAACTCAGCTTTTAGGCTTTTGCAAGGAGATCACTCATTACGAACAGCTGGGATATGTTTGTATGATGCTCAAAATGTTTCACATGATATAGTAAATTACTTTTTGTCTCCACAGAGTAAACATTATGACGTTAAACTCAACAAACGTCCAATTACGTTGATGTAGATCATATATGACTGGCAAACCAACTGTATCCTCAAATTTCAACACTAAACCTTCACTCCTGGTTGTACTATGTTTTATGGGCAAACTGATAATGCAGCACTTTTTGCATTTGCCTACAGATAACCTTTGCATTCAACATGATTTAACTTATGATGGCAACCCTAATCCTAAATAGGAACAATATGGGACTCTTTCACATCAATTGCTGCTCTTATAATGGTTCAGGAAAACAGGTTTCCTACATCCGTAATGAGTAATTTTCTCACAAACTTTGCATTTGCAATGGCTAGTTTATGATTGACTAGGAACTAGTGTAAAAAACGATCACAGTTGTTTCAAGCTTATCTGCATAATGTTCTCTTGACAATTTCATTTTTTGTGAACTTAAGACAACGAATAATATTTCAGTATACTACATAAACCTTACCCAACATATAAGTCGATACCTTGAATTAGTTGTATTGTACCAGTTATGTAATCACATCACTGATAAGTTACAATATTTTCTCAGAAATTTTTAAAATAATATTTGCCTAAATTAAGTAGAACCACGTATTCTTATAGGACCTTGAAGGCTTTTTCATTTCACAATAAAAGTAAGTCACACTTACTTGTATAAAGTATATAGTTAAAAATATTCTCAAAATAATGTGTAAAAGTGTGCACCACATAAATTATTCGGTTTGTGTGAGGACTAGGATACTGCCCGGGTGCCCAAACTGAAGCCGTGGTTTTCTTAGGAGGCCACACCCGGGGCCTTTGACCTTGAGGTATGATCCACAAGGCAGTGACGAACGTCAGGAGATGCGGTCCCATGGTAGCCGTTTCATACGCTATTTGTTCTCTCAGGATACTGGAGCACATGTCCACCATTAGTTTGGAATCAGGGTTTTCCAACTCTCCTAGGTGGATTCTCCGTGTTCATCAACCCAGTTAAAGTGCCATACATTCGCTTTTCGTTCTCTCAATCATATAAACAACAACCGTGGTGCGAGAAGGCAGTGATTAGGACTTCCCTGGTAGTGGTTGTATGCACGTGTCCATGTGAGAGCATTTCGAGATGGAGGGAGCAAATTCTCCCCACTGTTGGCTGTACCAGGGCATTTTGGGGCGCTATACTTCACTAGCAAGGATTATTCAAATCCTCAAAGTGTAGTAAAATATCGAACAATAATCCCTAAGCGCTGAGAATTGAAGACAATTAAATGAAATCATGTTAAACAATGAATTGTTCAAAATATTCACTTAGCGTGTTATACCCATGTAGTTAGTTGACAGACGTCATAAAGATTTATAAACTGGATTTGATACTCACTGTCGACTAGGTTAACACTAAGATATCCAAGCTGAAAATAGTTACTTATGAGTTAGTAATGTGGATCTAAACAATCCATCGAGTCTATAATTTATGGACGTACCAATCACGCATAAGACAACAAATCTAGGATTTTTTGCACGAAATTCACTCATCTATTTGGTTAAATAGAGTTTTAGCATTATAGTTGATATCAATTTATTATGAAAACCCTAAATCGAATTTATAACCTTAATCATCAACTGTAAATCACAATTGTAATTCTTCATACTTGTTTATAACCCTTATTTGGTTCTAGTTATTAGGTGGACACTCTCAAGATCACCTTAGAGTCGCTCAAAGGTTGTCGTTGGGGAAAATAAATTACTTATTCATAATAAATCATATATTTATTAGTTAACAAAATTAACAAACAAGTGCCTATTTTGTTATTTTCCACTTTCCTCTCTCCCCGCCCCCTTAGACGAAGTTCAACAGTCTTTGAATACAGATGTAAACTCTAAACAAATTTGTCACAATGATTATCATGTTGAAAATAGATGTGAATTACATAATACTAATGTCATAATTAATGATAATAGATTAAATAAAGTAATAAAAAATATAGAATGTGATAGAATTGAACATAATCCATTTGATCATCAACAACAAACTAGTCATTCAATGACATGTTTATTAATTTATCCATCTAACAAATCAAATCAATGTCGTCTCTTATTCAATAATAATAATCATAATAATAATAATAACAATACTGGGTCACATTATACTAATTCATGTCTTTCATCACCTATTCATTGCCAATATAATCAAAATCATTTATCAAAGTTTATGATTGATTCATGTGTAAAATCAAACAATATTAACTTACCACAACGTATAAGTAAATCAACATTGAATATTGCTACTAATCATCAAATGAAATTATCAACAGAACAATTAACATTGAATGAATATGATAAAATGAATCAAGTAAATTATAAAAATCATCTACTTTTCAATAATTGTACACATAGAAATATATTTTTATCAAATTGTTATCATAATGATTGTTTAAAACAAAAATATGGTTATTGTACAGTATATCATAGTTTAAAGAATCAAGATTATAAAGATGGTTGGGTTTAAGCTCTACTTTTCTTGTTTATATTGATGAAGGTGTGGGGATACTTTTTAATCGAAACTATAGAGGAGAATTGATTTTATAATTTGTATGAGGTTTTAAACAACTTGAATTAGATGCTTCGACAGAGATGCAACCAGATGCTGTATTCCAGACAAATCTTGTATAGGCTAACTGTGAAGTGTACTGTTAACTGAAAATGTTTTGATAGTTAAGCTCGTAGCTTGTGTTGTAGCTGCTTGCATTACTGTGAAATTGTGAAGTACCTTCTGTATAATATAGGAAGTCGTAATGACTGTCTTAGTAACCTGGCGTAAACTAAAAAGGTAAAAGACTACTTGATTTTGATTTTAAGTACGAATACACCCAGCAAAAGCGTGCCCTGTCGAAACTTGCGTTGTTATTTTCGTAGTCTGAAGCCAAAGGTGTCAGAAATGTCACCACCTGGCCGGAACAGGGAGGCACAATCCGACTCACACGTCCGCGTCGTGCCTCCTGGATAGTGAGACGAATGTCTCATGAACCAACGTGAGCGGTAACCCGGGTGATGGAGATCGGGCTAATCACCCACTCAACCTATACCCACAACCTGATTACGAAAACTACAGAGAATCATTGCACAATTATTAATGGTCCAAAAAAGACAAAAAAATCACAAAAACTAAAACTTGGTTTATGGAATGTCCGGGGTTGCTCTCAAGAGGGTAAGCTCCAACTGATTGCAGAACAAGTTATCGAACGTAAGTACCACATAGCAGTGATTACTGAAACGAGGATGGTCTCCAAAACTATCAAAATAGAAAAAAACACCACTTTCCCCAACTCTAATCCTGATATAAATGACTACCGGAACACCGGTGTCGGGTTCATCATTAATAACCAGTCAGTGGTTCCTGCCACCAACTTTAAGGAGATAGATGGTAGGATACATAGCAAAATAACTAACCAGACTATCAACCACATTGGTTGTTATGCCCCAACTGAGTCTTCTAATGATGATATCAGCAAAGAAAACTTCCATCTTAAGCTGAACAGCACAATTAAGAAACAAACTAAATAAACTTCCCATAATCACACTAGGTGACTTCAACTGTAGGCTAGGCCTGGACCTTCAAGCTTAATACCTTAGTATCGTAGGGAAAGCTATCAAGCTTGAATCAGAGACATCAAAAAATGGCATGAGACTAATAAACCTATGCGAAACATCAAGTCTGCGAGTAATGAATACCTTCATTACTAAACCAGCCCATAAGACTTCCACCTGGGTACACTCAAAGACCCAAACTTGTTTGGCTGGAAGGGGGACCACAGGGAGTCTGTTGCAGACTATGCCCGCAAACAGCTTTCCCATTGTGTCTAGTAGGAATATACTGCTATAGTTATTGGGGTCTGATCTTAGTCCTTTATTTTTGTATATACTTATCACGTCTGCATTTAACCAGTGGTTTAGCATAGTGGACGGATTTCTCCATATTTTATTCATTATATTTAGTAATATGCTAGTCAGTTTACTTCCCCCATGCTTGATCATTTCAGTCGTGATGCCATTATTACTAGGAGTAACTTGGTTTTTCATGTTTTTAAGCCTTGTTTTATTTGTTACAGAGTAAGTTCAGGATCCTTGGTAACCCCTAAGGATAGATGAGTAGTGTTTAGTTTTGACTTAGCACTAAATAGGTTCTGATAGTGATGTTGAAGATCACTATCTTTAACTTGATTCGTTCTTTTAGTTCTATAAGATTGGTTTCGAATAGTAGCCAATATATCATCCAGCATTTTATATGCTAAGTGTAATTAATGTTTTTTGAAGAAAGAGTTCATCTCGTCTATTCTATCTTTGATATATTTATCTTTTGCTAACTTAATCTTATTGTTTACAATCTTACTGGCTTGAGTATAGAGGTTTTTATTAAGGGCCGTAGAGTTGTTTAACCAGGCTAATCTTAGTAGTGTTCTATGATTTATCTCTTTTTTTAAGAGATCACTTATGCTGTGTTGCCATCTTTTAGTGGCCGACTTATGTGGGATTGCAGCTTTGTTAGCTGTCTGTATGATTGCTTCTTCTATCTGACTTGGACTATATTCATTTTGAAGTAAGTTATCTAATATATTTGGATAATCCGATTTCAAGGCGTGTATCGCCTTACGTTGTCTTCGTCCGGGTCTCTTATTTGTGTTTGGGGTCTGTTTATTATTTAAGTACTTTAGCTTAAGTATGGCTGTGACCATGTAGTGATCAGAGTTAGGCTCCATAGATCGACTGTTGTGTATGTCACAGACCATTAACATAGAGTTATTTTCTATTAACAGTAGGTCTATCATATGTTCCGTTTGGGTCTTTGAGTGTACCCAGATGAAAGTCTTATGAGCTGGTTTAGTAATGAAGGTATTCATTACTCGCAGACTTGATGTTTCGCATAGGTTTATTAGTCTCATGCCATTTTTTGATGTCTCTGATTCAAGCTTGATAGCTTTCCCTACGATACTAAGGTATTAAGCTTGAAGGTCCAGGCCTAGCCTACAGTTGAAGTCACCTAGTGTGATTATGGGAAGTTTATTTAGTTTGTTTCTTAATTGTGCTGTTCAGCTTAAGATGGAAGTTTTCTTTGCTGATATCATCATTAGAAGACTCAGTTGGGGCATAACAACCAATGTGGTTGATAGTCTGGTTAGTTATTTTGCTATGTATCCTACCATCTATCTCCTTAAAGTTGGTGGCAGGAACCACTGACTGGTTATTAATGATGAACCCGACACCGGTGTTCCGGTAGTCATTTATATCAGGATTAGAGTTGGGGAAAGTGGTGTTTTTTTCTATTTTGATAGTTTTGGAGACCATCCTCGTTTCAGTAATCACTGCTATGTGGTACTTACGTTCGATAACTTGTTCTGCAATCAGTTGGAGCTTACCCTCTTGAGAGCAACCCCGGACATTCCATAAACCAAGTTTTAGTTTTTGTGATTTTTTGTCTTTTTTTGGACCATTAATAATTGTGCAATGATTCTCTGTAGTTTTCGTAATCAGGTTGTGGGTATAGGTTGAGTGGGTGATTAGCCCGATCTCCATCACCCGGGTTACCGCTCACGTTGGTTCATGAGACATTCGTCTCACTATCCAGGAGGCACGACGCGGATGTGCGAGTCGGAAATCATGCACTATCTTGGCTCCACTATAAATAACATAGGAACCCCTGACAATGTCATAACCCATAACATAGAAAGGCCAAATCTACGGTGATAAAAATTAGACCAATACTAAAATGCAAGGAACTTAGCCTTGGTACTAAAATCAAACTGGTGGATTCTTCAATAATCCCGATTCTCACATATGGACTAGAATCCATAGTACTAAGAAAGCAAGACTGGACTAGACTAGAAACGGTCCTAAATACAATACAGCGAATGATTTTAGGTATAAACGATGGAAAACAACTTACTGTACAACAACTTAAACTAAAAGTAAACTTACCTAACCTAGCCAATAAAATCATGCAAAATAGATTAAACTTATGGTACACCGCGCATAAAAGACCAAATAACCTAATTGTGAGGTCTTTAAATAGCGAATTCGATAACCCAAACAATAATAGGAAGGCACACAAAAAACTGGTTAGGACAACTGCACCAAGATATTAGAGAAATGAGTGAGCGGCTACCGGATAATTGGATAATCCACCCCAATAAGGTCAAAATCAACGCATATCAGGAATACTTCCCCGAAATAATAGGCAAGTGTCAACTAAACTATAAGTGTCAAAATAAAAACTGCGATAGAATGTTCGCAACAATCAAAGGAATGAATAGACACTGTAGAAACGATCATCAAAATAAGCTTAGTACAGGCTTACCTCACAAATGTCCCCTAAATGACTGTAATAAAACGTACAAAACTTTGGGCTGGCTTAATAAACACATTCAGTCGTGTCACCCACATCACAAATCACCAGTAAAAGAAACTAAAATCCAAATAACTAAAAATAATTCCATAAATAATGTAAATAGATGTCCATACCCTGGCTGTACTAAAAGTCTCCCAACTAAGAAAGGTATAACCAATCACTGCTATGTAGTACATAGATGGTCAGCAATCACCGGAAAGGAAGTAAAACAAAAAACAAAAAAACCTGCAAAAATAACTATTAAGCCCCGGTAGTTGTGCCGTGCTTCGATGTAGCCTCTTCTCCAGAAGGGCCTACTAGGCTTCACCAACTTGTTTGGCTGGAAGGGGCACCACAGGGTCCGACAAAACTACCGGAGTTCAATAGTTGTTTTTGGGAGGTAAAATCCGACTCACACGTCCGCGCTGTGCCTCCTGGATAACGGGGCTTATTCCCATTAACTAACGTGAACGGTAACCCGGGTGGTGGAGATCGGGCTAATCACCCACTCTACCTATACCCATCCACTGATTAAAAATCCTACAATGAAACAATGTATCTCTACCTTTGGTTAAAAAAAACAAAAACAAATCCCAGAAATTTCCAAGAACTAAAACTTGGCTTATGGAACTTCCGTGGTTGCTCACAGGAAAGTTAATTACATCAAATTGCTAGTAAAATAACTGAACGTCAGTGCCACTTAGCAGTGATTACTGAAACCAGAATGCCAAGCAAAATATTAGAAATGGACGAAAACACAACTCTTTTTAACTGCAACCCAGATATAAACAATCACAAAAACACTGGTGTCGCCTTCATCATCAATAATCACACAAACATCACAATGAAATAAAAGGCAGAATCGCAACAATAATGATCCACTTCAAATCAATGAATCAATCCTTCAACTTTATTGGATGATATTCCCCCACAGAAACTTCAGATGATGGCAATCAAAAAGATAATTTCTACATCTCACTAAAACGAACAATCATGAATATTAAACAAAACAGACTACCAATAGTACTAATGGGTGACTTCAACTGCAGATTAAGCCAAGAATTACACACAATGTATCCTCACATTATTGGCAAAGCAATCAAACTAGAAGACAACTCACCAAATGGTATCAGATTAATCAAACTTTGCCAATCAACGAAACTAAAAATTATGAACACCTTCATACAAAAACCACAAAGCAAATCCATCACATGGATGCACCCGAACACAAATGATACTCATACCATCGATCTAATTCTACTAGATAACAAACCCAATCAAGATATCACATTATGCGACATACATAACTCCCGATCAATGGACGCCAACTCAGATCACTTCATGCTCAGCACAATAATTAAACTCCAACACAAAAAGAGAAACAAGAAACACAAACACAAGCATACACACAAGAAACGCACACAAAATAACACACGAAATGCTATTCAATCCATGTCCTCTGATTACCCTACAATATTAACAAATCTAATAAATGAAGCAAATGATTTGGCACAAATAGAAAAAGCCATTATGCATGCTGCACCAATATCTGGAAACCCCCGAAAATCAGCAACTAAAAGATGGCAAACAGTGAGGACCTTAATGAAAGCAACTAAGACTTCAATGGTTAAACAATCCAACTGTAGAAAACAAAAACAAATATAATCAAGCAAACAAACTAGTAAAACTTAAAATAAAATCAGCTAAAGAAGACTACATTCAATACGAAACTAAGGGAATGAATGCCTTCTTCGAACAAAATGATTTACACTCAGCGTATAAAAGGCTTGACGACATACTAGCCACAATAAGAAATCAAACATATAAACAGCGAAGAAACCAAATAAAAAGCAAAACACTTCAACAACATTACCAAAATCTGTTTCAATCAACAACAACACTAAACCTAGAATCCTCGAACACGAATCAATTCAATGAACCTCCTCTAACAAAACCTGGACTTGAAATAGTCATCAAGAACCTAAAAAATAACAAAACCCCCGGTAACAATGGCATAACCAATGAGATGATCAAACATGGTGGGGAGAAACTACAAAACATCCTATTAAACATCATGAACAAATTCTGGACAAATCCAAACGAAATCCCAAATCACTGGTTAAACGCTAATGTAATAAGCGTATAAAAAAACAAAGGTTTGAAATCAGATCCAAATAACTACAGAAGCATCTTCCTACTCGACACACTGAGCAAAATATTCTCCGGAATGATCTGCAACAGACTAGTACAACAAACAGATAATCAAATTCCGCCAACACAATTTGGCTTCAGAAAACATTTAACTATCAGTCATGCAATTACTACAATCAGACATGTAATCCAATGTGCTCTTGATTCAAACAAACACTGATCATCATCTTTGTAGACCGAACGAAAGCCTTCGATACCTTGTAGATTCAAGTTTTACTTTCGTTGGATGCTTCTGCCAGTTTGTCGGTAGTTTGTCTTTCATTTCATTAATGTCTTGAGTTAATTGTCTGACCCAGCTTTTGTTTGAAAACAAGATTGAATAGGGTAGGGCCTTCTTTGCTTCCTTGTTTTACTCCTCTATGCATAGTGAAATTCAGTTTTGTCTTCGCTAGGAAGCCTTTTGGATTATCTAGTAGTTTGTTTATGCACAAAGTTTATGTTTCCAGAACGACATGTTTTCGCTAGTGCATCCTGAATTAGCTGCTTTGGTAAGGTATCGAAGGCTTTCGTTCGGTCTACAAAGATGATGATCAGTGTTTGTTTGAATCAAGAGCACATTGGATTACATGTCTGATTGTAGTAATTGCATGACTGATAGTTAAATGTTTTCTGAAGCCAAATTGTGTTGGCGGAATTTGATTATCTGTTTGTTGTACTAGTCTGTTGCAGATCATTCCGGAGAATATTTTGCTCAGTGTGTCGAGTAGGAAGATGCTTCTGTAGTTATTTGGATCTGATTTCAAACCTTTGTTTTTTTATACGCTTATTACATTAGCGTTTAACCAGTGATTTGGGATTTCGTTTGGATTTGTCCAGAATTTGTTCATGATGTTTAATAGGATGTTTTGTAGTTTCTCCCCACCATGTTTGATCATCTCATTGGTTATGCCATTGTTACCGGGGGTTTTGTTATTTTTTAGGTTCTTGATGACTATTTCAAGTCCAGGTTTTGTTAGAGGAGGTTCATTGAATTGATTCGTGTTCGAGGATTCTAGGTTTAGTGTTGTTGTTGATTGAAACAGATTTTGGTAATGTTGTTGAAGTGTTTTGCTTTTTATTTGGTTTCTTCGCTGTTTATATGTTTGATTTCTTATTGTGGCTAGTATGTCGTCAAGCCTTTTATACGCTGAGTGTAAATCATTTTGTTCGAAGAAGGCATTCATTCCCTTAGTTTCGTATTGAATGTAGTCTTCTTTAGCTGATT